ACAGTGGGGGTACCAGAGCTGTGACCTGGACCACTGGGGTGCCCAGCCAGCCAAGACCTAGAATACTGGGTTGTACCAGCACTAGGAGTGACCCCAGAACCAGAACATTCGGGTGCCAGAGCTGTGACCTGGACCACTGGGGTGCCAGGCGGGCCAGGACCCTGAACACCGGGCTGTACCAGCGCTAAGAGGGCTCCCAAAACCTAGCGCACTGGGTGTCAGAGCTGTGGCGTGTTGGCACAGGGGCCCTCAGAATCTGGAATGGCAGTGCTAGAACTGAGAGCACTGCATGTGTTGGCACTAGGAGGGCCCCCAGAACTTCGAGCACTGAGTTGTTAGAGCTGTGACCTAGGACACTGGGGTGTGTTGGTGCCAAGAGATCCCCCAGAACCCAACACTGGAGCGCTGGGGCTAGTATGAAGAACACTGATGTGTGTCGGCGCTGGGAGGGTCCTAGAACCTAAAATATTGGGGGTGCACTGGCGCTGGGAGGGCCCCCGGTACCTAGAACCCTGGGCTGTCTGCCCTAGGAGGGCTCCTAGAACACTAGGATGTGCTGTGCCGGGGTGCTCTGGAACCCAAAGCATGAAAGTGTCTGCAATGGGAGGGTCCCCAGACCTAGAACGCAGGGTGCCTGCCCTAGGAGGGCTCCTAGAACACTAGGATGTGCTGTGCCGGGGTGCTCTGGAACCCAAAGCCTGAAAGTGTCTGCAATGGGAGGGCCCCCAGACCTAGAACGCGGGGTGCCAGCCCTGGGAGGGCTCCTAGAACACTAGGATGTGCTGTGCCAGGGTGCTCTGGAACCCAAAGCATGAAAGTGTCTGCAATGGGAGGGCCCCCCAGACCTAGAACGCGGGGTGCCTGCCCTGGGAGGGCTCCTAGAACACTAGGATGTGCTGTGCCGGGGTGCTCTGGAACCCAAAGCATGAAAGTGTCTGCAATGGGAGGGCCCCCCAGACCTAGAACGCGGGGTGCCTGCCCTAGGAGGGGCCCAGAAGCTAGAACACCAGGCTGTAGCAGCGCGGGGGCGGAACTCCCAGAACCAGGGTTGCAGGGTTCCAGGGATAGGAGGCATCCAGACCTAGCAGTCACGTGCAGCGCCGGGTCACGTGGCAGGGGCTCCACCCCCCCCCCCCCCCCCCCCCCCCCCCCCCCCCCCCCCGCGTCCCAGCCCTTCCCTGCGCCGAGGCGAGGCAATATCAGAGCGGCGTGGCCCGTCCGGCCGCCCCGCCACGTCCCCTCTCTCCAGGGGCTCCCTCCCCATTTCGGACGCGGACCTCACTTACCGCCGGGGCGCCGCGGGCGCGGGACCCGAGGCCTCCCAGGACGAGGCGGTCCCCGACTTGCCCGTTTCAAATTGGCGCCGGCGTCCGGCCCCGCCCCTGCGCTGACGGACGGTCCCCTCTGCCAATCGGAAGCGCCGCTCAGGCGCCGGGAGCCATCTGGCCCGCCTCCCAACGGCCGCCCCGTGGGGCGCAGGCGCAGTGCTGCGGTGCAGACTCGCGGCTCCCCCGCAGGGGCCCAGGCGGGGGCGGGGCGGCAGCTGCGCAGGCGCAGGGCGAGCGCTCGCCGCGGCCCCTCCCCTTCCGCGGGAGCTCCGGGCGGTGTTTCCTCCTCGTAGCCTGTCGTTTTCCCTGCCCCGCGGGGAGCCTGAGCCGCGGGCTCTCGTGGGCGTGAAGGCCAGGGCGCCTGCGCGGCCTGGGGAGCGCGCGCCCTCGCGCTGCTGGGCCCCGCCGTTAACCTCCGTGCGGCGGCTCCTCGGGCCCCCCTCCAGGTAGGAGGAGGGGGCGGGAGGCCCCGAGGGTCAAGCCCGGTGCGGGGGAGGGGGGGCGGTGTCCACACGGGTAGGGTCGCGGAGGTGGGAGAGGACGGGGCCCCGCTGGCCTCGGGCGCCTCTTCTGGGGTGCCGCCGCCCAAGGCCGCAGGCTGGGCGGGTCCTCCGCGCCCCCTGCCCGTCAGGGAGGGGAGGAGCCCAAGAAAGGCAAAGGCGCGGAGGGAGGCGGCGGTAGGTGGTTGTTAGGCCCCAGCCTTTGCCACCCCGTTCGGGGTTTTCCTGGCAGCGCGGAGGGGTTGTCGTTTCCTTTTCCATTTGACAGACGAGGAAGCTGAGGCAGAGGGGGCGGGGTGACTCGCCCAGGGTCGCACAGCACCGGCCGGGTCTGAGGCCGGAGGCGTGTCCTCCCGGCTGCAGGCCCGGCGCTCTGTGCACCGCGGCGCCCCCTGGCGGAGATGCTGCGGGTGGCGGCTTGAGGTTCCCGGGCTCAGATGCTGGGGGGGAGGGGCTCTGAGGAGCCGGAGGGACCTCGACCCCCGAGCTGTTGGTCACAGCCGGGGGGGGGGGGGGGGGGGCTGTCCCTGGTAGAGATAACTGAGGTTGAGACGCTCCCCGGCGCCAGGACTGTCGGGAGCTGGCGCGCGCGCGCCCCCCCCCCCCCCCCGCTGGGACTGCTGTGCGCGAGCGCCTGGAGACAGCGCGCCTGCGCGCTGGGGCGTGGAGGGGGGCGGGGGCCTCTGAGAGTGAACTGAAATGGACCAGAGGGATGGAGCGAGGCTGTGACGGTTGGGAAGGAAGAGAGAGCCGGGCGGACCGCCGTCTCCTGTCTGGCATCGCAGAGCAGGTTGCCTCAGTTTATCCATTTGTAATACGGCTCAAAGTGATGCCCGACGAGGATTTGATAATTTGTTGTGTTTGAAACGTTAAGATGGTAAATTTTTTAATCTGGATTCTTGTGGGTTTCAGGGGCCATTTTTTAAAATGATGTTGTTTGTTGGAAACTGTTGATTTAGAAACACAACGGGTAAGGATAATGGTTTGTTTTGTTTTTTTGCTGTGAGCTTGACCTAGCAGGAATTGCTTTAAGAAGTCCTCATCCTTGTAATGCAGAGTTTTAAGATCTTGTAAGCCCTGAGGGTAGAATAAGGTGTTTAACAACAGTGGCTAATCACGTTTAGCCTGGCATATTTTGAACTGACCTACCACTAATACTTGTGATTCCAAATATATATGTGTGTATGTATGTGTGTGTGTGTGTATATAACACACACCCACACATTATACTGTGAGATTCATTTGTCTTGGGTCATTTCATTTGGCCTATGTATGTTACGTTTTTGCTAATTGAGGTTTTGATGATATGTTTTGTAGGAATGCCTTTCCAGAGGCCATGCGACGTAGAATGAATGATTTTCTACGTGAGATAATTTGGAAATACATTTGGCTAAATTAATATTATCTGATAAGTATTTAAAGTTTTACTTAAAATTCCTGTTATTATGACTGTTACGTGTTTCAAGATTTTCTTATATTTGCAAATTCTGGGGAACCACTGTATATGAAATGCTGTTAAGGAAGTGGTAATCTGTCACTGGAGATTTTAAATTTTTTTGACTCGGGTATTGTGAAATTATTAAGGTATTAGAGACTACTGTCATAATGTTAAAACTTATGCAGTTGGGCATTTTCTTGTGAATGATGAAGTTGTGTCTAAAATGGTCTGTATCAAAGTTGGATCTTTAACCAGCTTGAAAAGATCCCAGTCTAAGAGATTTTCTTTTGTTAATATACAATACCCAGCTGTTAGTCTGCAAATTACTGCCGGTCACTTCTGAAAGATTCTGTTTGAGTAACCTACCCTATGTCAGTTGTCTATGTGAATTTACAGATTACAATTGCTTATTGATTGCTTTTAGACTGGGATGAGTTTAAACTGGAAGAGAAGTGTAGCATGCAAAAGAAAACAATGTTGAGTGATTTTTGCAAGGCCTGATACATTTTTCATTTTGAGCTGGTTTATTGCAGCAACATGAAAATAGTAAAAACTATACACAGCCCTAAGCTATGATTATTGAAACTTGATGTTTAAAGTCAGATCTCCTGGACTGTAATCGATATTAGTCTGAGTTGGATTCCAGCGGTGATCATTGGAAATGCCATTGAACCAATGACCCATGATGCCAGCGGCCCTTTGGGAGTGGCATCTGGGAACTGTTGTGGTCTAGCAGTCTTGGGAACCCTGAAATGCAGGAGCAAAGGGCACGCATCTGCCTCAAAAGAATTCACCCACCCAAGCCTTCTTTCACTCCGAGTAGTTTATTAAAACACCAGTTGGGGTGGGCAAGATTCCTAGTGAGTCTGCACTGTTTGTGATGCCAATGCAAGCTGACCAGATTTTAAGAATCAGCAATTTATTGGGGGTAAGATCAACACTTTTATACAGAAAGACTATGGGAAGATCTGGATGGGAGTAAGGAGTGTCAAGTATGCTCCAGGCAAATGCCAGGAATCAGGGCTGTGTGGGAAAGTCCAGAGACTTTTCCTTTTTGGGGTCCAGATCCCAAAGATGGTCTTTTCCTTTTAAGGGAAGAACAGTTTCTGCTTTGGGCTGAGGCTCCTGACTCAATTTCCCTGTTTTGATATTTCCTCTTAAACAGAAAGTTTTCCCACTGGGCTAAGCTTCTGAGCATTCTGTGACATTCTGTCCATACAGTCAGCTGCCTCTATGACTCTTGCCTGGAACTGACACCAAGTTGGGGGAGCATTTTTCCCTTTACAATATCTGTGTCTCTCTTTTTCCTTTTATGGCAAGTTTCTGTAGTTGCGACAGGTGGTCAGAAGAACATATGATCACAATAGTAAATCTTTATCTCATAGACTAGATGCAAGTGTGTAAGATTTAAGTTATTCCGCCTGAAGTTACAGCCCTTTCCTTATTCTAAACAGCTGAGGAGGTGAGTACTTGGGTTTGTCCTCTGCCAGAGGAATGAAAACCCCAGAAACAGAGTTTCTGGGTGATTAATAATCAATTTATTAATTAGGCTAGCCGACAATAAGTTGATGGTCAGTGGTTTAGTGGTTTCCTTTGGCAACCAGAGACCCCAAGGGACACCCTGAAACTCCTTAAAACCCTTCTGAAAGGGACCTTCCCTGGCAAATGAAACTCAGCCCTGATGGGCGGACGAAACGTCTTCAGCTCGTCTTGCTGAGAATATGGCTTACTCTTGTGACTACCAGCCTCGAGGTGTCTGGGCAGGGGAAATATTTCCATCGAGATGTCTCTGACTGGTTTTCTCCTTCACGAGTTGGGTCACCCTAAACTCTGATGGAGGGGATCAAGGAGGCAAAGGCTTGCCCAGACTAGATTCTCTTTATAGAAATGAGATCTCCCAGTAGGGTGGGGTCTCCCCCCCCAAAACTGAGGAGCATGTGCCTTGAGGGCTAGGAGCGGTCCCATCAGTCAGCCATGCCCTTCACAGACTGAGGACCTTAACAGGTGTTGGGCCTTTAAGGAAAAAGGGTGGATCACAAATGAATAATTAGTTACTAATATAATTTACTATAGACAACTCATTTATACAATTTGGAATTATTTACTTAATCTATTTTGCACACCCTATCCCAGGTCCCCCCCCCCCCCCCCCCCCCCCC